GCCACAACAAAGAGAGGCGCCCGGCGGCCGCCGAGAGGACGACATCCAGGGAGGAGGAGGAGGAGGAGAGAGGGGAGAGCCTGGTGCTCCAGGAGAGCCTCGGCCCACTGGAAGAAAACCCATTCATTAAACTGGAGAAGGAGCGGAGGAGGAGGCAGGACCGGGAGAACTCAACCCGTCCGACGCAGCACATCCTGGAGCTTTACGGCAGCGTGCCCGGCATACGGACGATCCGAGCTGATAACATTATCATCATTGAGTCTGATCCGGATTACTTCCCGGAGGTAGGTCCATTGAAAGCCGGGTCTAAGTGGCAAACAAATGGTGTGAGCGGTTACAGCTCCCTGAACGACCTCCTGGACCGGAGAGGGAGTGCTGTCACCGAGATAAGAGCCAAGGAAGTGGTGATTTATGACACCACGTTGAGCAAGAGTGAGGAGAACCTGAGCACTCTGGGCTACCAGGATCTCCCCCCATACTGTGAGGTGGGGCCAAGTCAAGGCAGGGTCAGTCGGATGCTGCAGAAGTTTGACAGCAACTATGGGAAGCTGCAGAAGAAGTCTCACAGCACGGAGAACCTGCTGGACCTGGACTGTGGTGCTAGCAACAGTATCGGCAGCAGACCGCAACTTTGGCGTCAGCCACAACAGCCAGATCCTGTGCCAAAGCCTGGACCGGGCTCTGTGGCTAGCAACCAGCCTTTGTTGCCTGTCATCCAGAGTTCTTGGTCTTCCAAAGCTAAACCGCAGCCTGACGTGTTGGAGCCAGGGAGCCCCCAGCGAACCATCAGGCCATTACACGCTACACCTTCTCCCCGCGGTGGGAGAGATGAGCCAGACAGGGTGCAAAGCAAGCTCGCCAGAGAGAGAGACTGGGAGAGTTCTGAGGTCCCACCAAAACCCAAGGTGCCGTGCTCTCCAGAGACCCGCCGCGCCCGCGCCGTGGCCCCCTCCAGCCCCATCTCGTCAAAGGTGGTCCGCTCTACTCCCGGCTTTGAGATCCGCCCAGCTCCCAAGCCAGACCTGCAGCAGATTCCAGAGGGGGACACCCAGGCGAGAGCTCTAGCCAACCTGCGCATCCAGTCGCGTAACTCTTTCACAGTGATTCCTAAACGACACCTCACAACGAGCCGCGTGGCACCAGCTGGTCCCGTCATGTCTTCTCTGTCCGACAGAGGGACGGAGGTGCCCGCACCAGGAGTGCCAATCTCCCCCACCCTGACAAAATCAAGGTGGAAGGAGGAGAGAAAGAACGAGGTGGAAAGGGTGACTCCCAAGACTCTACCGTCTCCTACTGTTGCCACCAGTCCCAAACCTTCCTCCCTCCCACCTGCGGATCGTGTGTCTCCACCTCCTGGACTCAGCCCCATGCCCTTATCTCCAACCATGGCGTCCTCTCCCCCATCGTCCCCAGCTGCCCCTCCATCGCCACTGATCCCAACAGCGTCAGCTCTGGAAAAACCTCAGCTGACAGATCAGCTTCCCGTCACAAACATTGATGAGATTGAGGTGGAGCAGCATCAGCGATTCCCTGTCCCCAGCCCTTTGGTCCAGAGGAGAAAGGGAAACACCTTCACTGTCGTGCCTAAACGAAGAGCGGACCCAGAGGCACAGCCGAGCTCACCGGAACCCCAGCAGGATGCTGTCAGTGAGGCCTCGCCGGGGTCCACGCCGCCTCAGCCTCCCTACCCTACGCTGGGCACCCAGCTGAAGAAACGTTACCCTGCTGTGGAGGAAATTGAGGTCATTGGTGGATATCTGTCTCTTGCCAAGTCCTGCCTGCTCAAGACGGGCTCCACAGGCAGAAAGGTAAGACTAAACGAATGTTTTTGTTTGTTTGTTTTTTTTTTTTGGCAGATATTTTAGCTTCGAGATGAGTCAAAGTGAATTACATTTATCGATGTAACTAAAATGAAGAACAAAAAAAAAACAGGAGTAAAAGAAGTCTTAGTTGTGGAGAAAGTTTTATTGACTGATTTTCCTGGTCATTTGACTGATGATTTGTTACAGTCACCAATGATGTCACCACATCACTGGTGACATCGTGTTGGTGCAAGATGTCATTAGTGCACACCCCTGCACAGAGGGACCTGCCTCAGACATACTCTATATAGGCCGCCTCCTTTATTTGGCAGAAACAAAGTTGAATTCCTTTATAAATGTTCTCTCTCCTCCAGCAGGAGTTGTTTTCATTGCAGACTGTTTGAACGTGAAGACCGGCCCTAGTCCTGGCAGTGTCCTCCCATAAGGTTTTGTCTCATCTAATTATCAACTTTCAGCTTCACACAGAAGGAACGCTTCTCTTAGTTTTCTCTTTCCATTCACTCTGTTCATTCACTAAACCAAAGCTTTCAAAGACGAGGGTACACCTCAGCGGTGTCGTCAGCCTGTCATCAGGTACAATAAACATCCCAATAAACATGCAAGCCTTTGATTCAGACTCTAAGAAAGCCTTTGTGTGTAGTGTAGATGAAGTAAGGCTGCCAGTGGATTGAAGTCTTTAATCTGGATTAACGACATGATTGTCCATATTGAGCTCACAATTGGAGGCTAATTCATATTGTCCAAGATTGGAATCCTCTTATGAACATGGAATGTGTTTGTTTATGTTGTTATATCAATAATCCACATGAGGACACACATATTTCAGAGTATTTTCCAGCATGCATGTTGGACTATGGCAGTACTTCTCAAATAGCCACCCCGGGGGGGTGGAGGTGTGACTATGGCAGTACTTCTCAAATAGCCAAAAGGCGGTGAGGTGTCGGCGGGGCGTGAGGGGCTTCCAATGGAATATGGCACGCTGGAATTAAGTGTACCACTGCTGTAATGCTTAAATGATAACATGTGTCCAGTCACTAGGTGGCAGCAACTCATACAGTGTTATCAGGTTCTCAATAGTATTTCAATTTGCAGTGGTGTGGGTCGTAAGGGGGGGGCATGAAAACATTTCTGTCCCCAAGGGGGGGCATGACAAAAAATAATTGAGAACCACTGGACTATGGGCATAATTTCCCATAATGCTTTTTTTTTAAAAATGTTGCAGCATAGGACTGTATCATTCCGTGGAGGTCCTACTATAATGCCCGGCAAAACGATTATGGCCAGAATGATGACCAGGTTTATTTTCATCACGATTGATAATCACGACTATTCATTATTCATTGTTAAGTAAAACATATTTTTTTTGCACTTTCTATATTAAACAAACTGCATGTGATCCACGGTGGAGCTTTGGCCCAGAGGCAATGTCTTTGGTGTGGAACCCCAGGGTTCACCTCCTGGGCAAGATCGAAGGTTCACAAGGGGCTGGTACGGTGCAGTGTGTGATTTGGGTGGCGGTCGTGGAGACTGCTGCCCCCGCGACCCGGGAATGGTCACGGATAAGCGGATGAAAATGGATGGATGGATGGATGGATGTGATCTAAGCTTTCGGTTTAAAAATGAATCTTAAAAATTTTCATTAATAAAATAAAAAATGAAATTTACCCAAGACAAAAGGCTAATGAAAAACAAATATACCATTTACTATTTGGAAGAAGGCACAGCAACGTCTGTTCCTTTGGTTAGGCAAAAATTTTGGAGAAATAATTGCGCGAGAGAATCACGTTTTTATTGGACAAGTCTTTGGCCAAATGAAACACTATTCCATCTGTTATTTCGGCATGTTGCTTGGTGCACGGTTTCCATTATGGTTGTCTGTGTTGGTGCAAGACACCAGGACAGGGATTTAGTGGACCAGTGTTAGCGTTAGCTTTGGTCTACAGGTACATTTTTTTTATTATTGTTAATACCGCAACGATCGTTTTCATTTAATCGTGGCAGCCAAAATCATGATTACGATCAATGTTCGATCGGTTGTGCAGCCCTACTTTGTTTTCGCATGAAAACAAACGCAACAGCTGTTTTATTTTGGTCCAACGGAAGCTTGGTGCTAAATCATTATTGGGCTTGGGGAACAGTCCAAATCTATTAGCTGTAAAATCTCCTCCAGACTGCTTTTAGCTCAAGGGATTTGAATGTATTTAGACTGATGCCAGTTTGAACCCTTCACACACCAGCATAACTGCACCATTAGAATGGGATGTATCCCTTTAACATAGGCTCTGGTCCACCCGGACCATAAAGATCCAGGACATGAGGTCCTCTGTGGTGTTAACCAAAATTGTTCTTTAACCTCGACCGACAAATGAGTTTGAGGCTGGTCATTCACTGCTTGTTTGTTTGTTTGTTTGTTTGCTCCTGTGTTTATTTCCCATATCCAAAACTGTATCGTTGATACAGTTCGAGAGAAGCAGCAGGCATTTACTACTTACTACTACTACTACTACATGGAATCAAAAATACAAACAGATACTTCAGTCTGGTTCATTGTTATTATTGTGTGTTTGTGCCTCTCACTTCTCTTTTTCTTTATCCTCGCCGAGCTGTCATTCCGACAAACGGCTCCAGGTGAATCCACGTTAGCCATAAATTAAACATGATAAGTGTTAAATTAAATAAGATAAGTGATTAATTAAATATGGTTTCAGCTTATGCTGCAGGGAGCTGCAGACTGTTAGCTCTGTATCAGGACTCCAGTCAATAAGTAAAAAAGAACAGTGTTTCTTTTAGACATTGAAACGACAAAGAACAGTCCCGATTTGTCAGTCAATGTTTGTATTTTGTTTACTGAAACATCTTCTTTTTTTTTTTTATTCATACCAATTCTGACAGAAGACAATGAACACGTGATCTCTGCCAGTAGCTTGACTTTCAAATTTCACGAGGCATTTTATGAATCTTTTTTCAAATGTCCAGATTGTAGGCCGTGTGATTAAAAACTGTTCAGTCAGCAGCAGCATGTGACCAGTCCATCAAAACAGCCACAAACCTAGCAGATAACCTAAACCCACAAATGCTAACGGTTAGCTGTTGGATTTGTAAAAAAAAAAAAAAAAAACAAAAAAAAAAAACACCAAGGTATCTTTAAGAAATGCATTGACAACGTTAAAATGTCTACTTTGATCCAAAGAGCAAAGGCTGAAAGATATAAAAGCTGCTGAAAGGTAAAGGTTCACCTAGTGACACCGAGGCTAACAGGTAAAAGGGTAAAGGAAATGTTACAAAATATATGCCCAACATTAGTATTAAAATTACTATATAATATGAAAAAGATAATCAAAGTTAATGGTAGTGTGGCGCTTTGGCCCAGAGACATCGTCTCTGTCATTGGTGTGGAACCCCAGGGTTCACCTCCTGGGCAAGTTCGAATCCCAGTTAGGGCGGTTGGTACCTTCCAGTGGACTCACCACCTGCAGGAAGGTTTAGGGGGGTTGGTACGGTGCAGTGTGATTTAGGTGGCGGTCATAGAGACTGCTGCCCCCGTGACCCTGTAACGGATGGATGGAGTTAATGGTAGTGAAAAATAAGGGAAAACAACGGAACCACATGGTATACCGTACATATTGGGCTGTCTGTAAGGAGTTAGAAGATAAAACCTTTATGGTGATTATCTTGAAGCTATCAACAAAAGATGGATGAATGGTGTCATCATGTGTACCAGCAGAACACGGGAAGAAAACCTAGTACTCTGGTACTGAAGAGAATCAGTACCATCAATGTGTTATGCTATCTGATGTTTAAATAACAAAAATGACCAAAGGGGGGTGGCGCTTTGGCCCAGAGGCAATGTCTCTGTCATTGGTGTGGATCCCCAGGGTTCACCTCCTGGGCAGGTTCGGATCCCGGTTAGGGCGGTTGGTACCTTCCAGTGGACTCACCACCTGCAGGAAGGTTTAGGGGGGTTGGTACGGTGCAATGTGATTTGGGTGACCCAGTAACGGATAAGCGGATGAAAATGGATGGATGGATGGACCGACCAAAGTGGGAAGCAGGAGCTTTATGATCGAGATGGGTTAAAAACAGTGATTTTTCTCTATGGACTTTTGGTGCAGGAGAGATAGAGAATTAAAACTCTCTGACAGAATAATAAACGAGTATGCACATTCTTTACTTTTCAAAGACGTAACCTAGACTTTATCTAACGGCGCAACTGTTTTGTTTTTTTTTCAGCCTCCGAAGCTAGATTTAAACTGGTTCATGTCGAGAAGTGATTCAAATTACAGTTATCAACATAAATTGACTCTAGTGGACACAGTAAGGTAGTGCAGTATGTTATAATTTCACGTCGCATATTTGGTGAAAATGGAAACTGTGGTATTTTAACAACTGCAGGATCCATAATTAAGCCCCGTGGATTGGAACTGTTGATGGCTGCTCATCATGACTCTGTAATGACGCACTTTCAGGCGGTGGACTGGTCCGTCGGTACATTATCAGCCAGCGTGGCCGTGAGACAGGCACTCGTCCTTGCTGCACTCTCGTACTGTTGTTCCATCCGTTGGCTCGTCTCTCTCTCTCTCTCTCATCCAGGCACAGATTTTTTTTGTCCTCTTTTTTTTTTTTTAATTTCCTGGGCAGGACTGTGAAGGCAATTACAAAGGCAGCAAGCTGAGGCTTTGGCCTGAGTAAATGTGATCATTTGTGTGGAATTGTCCTCCAGTGCTGCTGCTGCTGCTGCTGCTGCTGTGTGAGGGCAGCCATCGAGAACAGCCTCAGACCAGCACTGTGGTTTTCATCTCTGGCTTTTTTTTTTTTTTTTTTTTTTTACTCAACATACATTTATTTTTACAGGGAAGTTGACAGAAAAGGAACGTTCCACCACATTCACGTCAAAACCTAGTAGGCCAGAGATTAGATCTGTAGTTTTTCAAGTGAAATGTTTGAAAGGGGAGTTTTTATTACTGAGGCTTTTCCGGTGCCGAGAA